TCCTAATTAGCCTCCCCGCGACGCTTCTCGATCAAAAACTATTCGGCGATGACAGAAACTGTTAACTAAGATGGCTTAGTCCAGTTTTGTTTGGGAAGACACGGATGCGAAGGTCAGTTAAAAATCGTTCCCTCAGAGAGGGAGAGATGACGGGTGCGGGGTATTTTTTTCCGCTATTCGTGAGTATAGTGTACTTTTCACTGTGGGTTCCATCACTGGTTACGTGATGAAGTTTTTTTTTTTTTATGTCCGGGGCAAAATTAAACTAAATAGTCCGGGGCGACAGCATGCAGTGCTAACTCCTCTTTTCTACACCGACCTACACAGACTGTAGTGACAGTTGTTGTTGTTGTGATGGTGGTTGTGGTTGTGGTTGCAGTAGTACTGGTACAGGATGGGTGATGTGGTAGCTGTTACACTGGCTACATTTACTTCTGTACAAATTAATGCTACCTATTTAAGTCTGGGTGGACACAGTTGCAAAGCTCAATTTAGTTACAATATTTCGTTACACGGTGACTTTCCCATACTTCGGAGAAGATGATATGATGGGGGGGGGGGGGGGTTATGCCAGATACAGTTAGCTAAGAGAGCTTAAAATATTATTTTAAACTTCTCCTTTCTTAACTTTTCTATTTTAATAATTTTGCCAGGTGATGCTTTTTCAATCCTTCGGAGAGGGAGAGATGATTGGTGGAAAAGAGGGGGGGGGGGGGGGGGGGGGGGTTATGCCAAAGAGCTGAGAGAGCTTAAAATATTATTTTACAGTTCTTATTTATTAACTATTTCTATTTTAATAATTTCGCAATGGATGATTTTTCAATCCTTTGGACAGGAAGATATGATTGGAGGAGGGGGGGGGGGGGGGGGGGGGGGGGGGGGGGGGGGGGGGGGGGTTATGCCAGACACCGTTAGCTGAGAGAGCTTAAAATATTATTTTAAAGTTCTCATTTCTTAACTATTTCTATTTTAATAATTTCGCCATGGATGATGTTTCAGTCCTCGGGAGAGGGAGATATGATTGGGCGGTAGGGGTGGGGGGGAGGGCGATATTCCAGACACCGTTAGCTGAGAGAGCTTAAAATATTATTTTAAAGTTCTCATTTCTTAACTATTTCTATTTTAATAATTTCGCCATGGATGTTTCAGTCCTCGGGAGAGGGAGATATGATTGGGCGGTAGGGGTGGGGGAGGGGGGGGGGGGGGGGGGGGGGGGGGGGGGAGGGCGATATTCCAGACACCGTTAGCTGAGAAAGCTTAAAATATTTTAAAGTTCTTATTTCTTAACTATTTCTATTTTAATAATTTTGCAATGGATGATTTTTCAGTCCTTCGGAGAGGGTGATAGGATTGCGTCGAGGGGAGAGGAGGGGGCATATGACAGACACTGTTAGCTGAGAGCTATTTTTTTTCCTCTCCATTTCACCATTCAAGGCCACAGCAACGCGTGGCCGGGTGCAGCTAGTTACGAATAAACACTAGACACTCCAGAGTGAATATCACCTGAATATCTGTGCAAGACGTAAACAGTGATGTCTATAAACTTGACTCATCAATGATGAGTCTCAAAAAGCATTTTTTTTTCTTAATTTGAAAACCCAATTAAAATTTCCAGTCAGCACTCGATGAGGGTCGATAGACAGAAATGGCTGAGGCATATAGAGAGAATGAGATAATAGGCAAAAACTGCATATACAAAGGGGTTGAATGGCCGTAGACTATGAGGCAGAGAAAGAAGAGGATGGAGAGATAATGTCCATGCAGAACTACAGGCACTAGGCAGTCACCAACTGCAAACAGAAGGCCAATCACAGAGATAAATCTTCTCAGCGTTCACTAGATGTAAACCTCAGTGGCAAGTTCTGGTTGTTCATCCACTTCTGAACTGTAGTCTTATTCCAGAGCTTGAGTTTTACGTGAATTTCTGTTTTATAGATCTGGACTGTCAGTATGCAGACAGTTGGTTCCTCGCCCCTCTGGCAGACGCACTCTGACTTTGTAAGAAACACTCTGACGAGCTGTTTTCATGACGTGCTCAGGTCAGGACATGTAGTTAGTCTAATCCCCCCCCCCCCCCCACCCCCCCCCCCCCCCCCCCCCCCCCCCACGGGGCCCTGGAACAAACACAGGGAAAAGAGATAAATGAAAGCGGGTCATTTCTGCAGTGATGAACCTCAAGGGATCGGAATACTGGAGACTTTAAGCTGTGTCAACTTGAGAGCCAATTTGAATTAAAATTGTGCTGCTGGAGATACTTTAAAAGTTAGAAAGTGTGAGAATAACAGCGGGGATATTTCATACACTCTTTCCCCATGTGGATTCCAAGGAATCCTTGTGTGCGAAAAGAATATAATCATTGATCTTTAACAAGCACGTCACAAAAAAGTGACTAACTAGGGGTGTTTTCTTCGAAGTCAGAGTACATCTACCAGGCAAAGAATCACTATATTTAAATCAGCCAGGTCTGTAAAACAGATGTGCAGGCAAAACTCAAGTGCTGGAACAAGACTAAAGTCTTAAAGTGGAGGAACAACCAGAACTTTCCCCAAAGTTCACTGCCAGAAAATGCTTAAAAAAAGAATACGATACACTCTCTTGATCTTAAACATGTTTGAAAAGGTGTTGATGCAATAACTATTAACACCACAAAACAAAAACACATTCGTTACAGTGGTTAACATTATCCTGTATGAAAGACAACAAACAGTCACAGCGAATCATGACTTTTTATACACTGCAAATATGTTACACAAGAAACAATGTCACATAATTCTGAATAGAGCAAATGGGTAACTGCAGGAAAGATGTGGAGGTGCAAGTAATTGGTAAACATAAAAGTTGAAAAAAAAAAAACAAGCTAGTCAGCTGATGTGAAGTGTCAAGCTATCACATATTCTACATCACAACATTCGAGATAGGGGCAGGCCAGTTTAATGTCTGACAACTAATCTTCTCAAAAATGTGTCTGGTAACCATGTTATAACAGTGATTAACAGCCAGATGAAATCCACAGGCTTGACGAGCCTTGGGGGTTAACTGCTGAAGATACCACTGGCCTCCACTCATCTCTGAGACGCTGGGTCTGCTTGTATATTACCCCTCCATCGTGTCCCTGATCTGCCACATGGTCTAATCTCACTCAACTCTTGTCCTTACAAGGCCAGTGATCAATGGTCAACTATACATCTTCTTCTTGGGAGGCTGTGTGGTCTCAAAGTATGGTGTCTACCTCAAGTGCTGGAGGTCCTGGGTTCAAACCCCAGTCAACGCTGGGATTTTTTCTGTTCACATGGACTTCTAGTAATTTCCCCTGGTCACTGGGTAGTGAGATCAGACGCCCATGTGTATTGATGTGCATGTAAAAAATCCCTTAGCAGTTGGAAATAAAAAATATTTCAGGATTCTTGCCGTTGCTACGGAGCCAGTGCACTGTGCTGAGCTACTTTAGACTCCGACTTGAATTGAAAGTGGAATGGAGCATTTACGGGTTACTACTCGTGTGCCATGATGTTGATTCATTGTTCAAACCTCAAAATTCTTCTTCTTAAAGTCCATGCCGTGTGGCGTTGGCAAAGCCTGAGGATTCAGGGCGGCATGGGTAGTGATGTCACCACACAGTGGGCATGTGCAGGTTTGGATTTGTATTTTTGTCACCGTAAGAAAAATCCCCAAAACTTTTTGATGACTTTTTCTTCTTCTCGGCGCACACTTACAGTCAATTCCAGCTGAAAGTTCTGTTGGTTCGTTCATTCCTGGACTTTAGTCTTGTCCCTGGACTTCAGTTTGTGTGTACATCCACTTAACAGATCTAGCTTACCTGTATGCAGACTGTTGGTTCCTCACCTCTAAGGCAGATGCACTCTGATTTAGAAGGAAACTACGCTAGACACCTTGTGCGATATGCTTCCTAGGGAGCCAGTTGGTCTTGTCATGTGTCCTTTCCACCCCCCACCCCAAATATGGTCCTGAAACTCAGGCAGTGATACCAAGGATTTAAATCTGGGTCTCCCACGTGACAGCTCAGTGTTCTTGAACATTAGGCCAGCCGCTCTTCCCAGTTTGGCAACACTTTATGACCTCACGTTGACTGACAATCTCTGACTTGTTCTTGTGTCATTCCAGGGCCCTATTCGGGAAAGACTTGGTGAGAGAAACGAACCACACCCAAGAACAAGCATTTCATAAAGGGGGACTAATTATGGCTATCTGCAATCAAATGTTGGGCTAAAAGGCTGTCTCCACAAGGTCACTAACAACACTAGACAAGACAGGGTTACAGATACCAGCATTAGAGAGAAAGTCGGAATAAGACCATGTCTGGATTACACTAACAGACAAAAAATTAAATGGTTCAGACATCTAGTGAGAATGCAGCCAAACCAGACTGCATTAGAGACTTTTTACAGTAGAACATCTGGAAGGAAGGCGAGAGGAAGACCAAGAAAGAGAAGGATAAATGGTGTTGATGAAACCTGCAAAAAGTTGAACAAATCTATCACTCAAGCCACCAGAGAAGCGCAAAACAAATACAGAAAACCACGACACTGGCTACAACCTGATAACAGTGAGACGACAAAAGAAGAAGAAGAAGAAAGGCACAGACATGGCAATCTAACTGTAAATCACAAAATAATGTCCCAACCTTCTTTTAAAGGGTGAAAGTTGAAGAAGAACTCCTGTTTACCAATTTTTTAATCTTAAGCACAACTTAATCATCAAAAACAGGCCTCTTGTAAGATTTTGTTAGCTCTTTAAAGAATAAATGTTCTGTATATCCACCCACAATCACTTATCCATAACCAAGAACTCTTCATAGAAAATAAGTAAAACCTCATAAACGATGAATCCCAAGAAGGAAAAAATATTCCAGAATTATGAATAGCGCATCCCTACTGGGACTATAATTGTGTTCACATTAAGTGAATGTTTATGAAGTTTTACTGTACAATATACAGAGGTAAATGAAAATTCACACAGAACATGACACAGATCAACAAGAATCAGTGCTTCCTCTTCTTCTGGAACTTCTTCCTGACACCGCTGGCCTCTTCTGTGTCATCAATATTATCAAGACCTCTCTTTCTCTTTCTTGCGGCTATTTTCTTTTCCTCTGCGTCTTTCATTTCCTGTTGAAGATAATATAGGAACTGGGTAAATATTGGAAGACTGGAAGTGTTATATTGTTAAAGTTAGCTAAAATAAAAGATATAAATTTACAGTATTTTGTCAGACCAGAGGCCAAAACATAAAAAAATCAACATACGCTGTCTAATTCGTCAACCGTTTACAGAAACTAACTGCCTTGTCAACTGTTTACAGAAACTAACTGCCTTGTCAACTGTTTACAGAAACTAACTGCCTCGTCAACTGTTTAAAGAAACTAACTGCCTTGTCAACTGTTTAAAGAAACTAACTGCCTTGTCAACTGTTTTAAGAAACTAACTGCCTTGTCAACCGTTTACAGAAACTAACTGCCTTGTCAACCGTTTACAGAAACTAACTGCCTTGTCAACCGTTTACAGAAACTAACTGCCTTGTCAACCGTTTACAGAAACTAACTGCCTCGTCAACCGTTTACAGAAACTAACTGCCTTGTCAACCGTTTACAGAAACTAACTGCCTTGTCAACTGTTTACAGAAACTAACTGCCTTGTCAACTGTTTAAAGAAACTGCCTTGTCAACTGTTTAAAGAAACTAACTGCCTTATCAACTGTTTAAAGAAACTAACTGCCTTGTCAACCGTTTACAGAAACTAACTGCCTTGTCAACTGTTTACAGAAACTAACTGCCTTGTCAACTGTTTAAAGAAACTGCCTTGTCAACCGTTTACAGAAACTAACTGCCTTGTCAACTGTTTACAGAAACTGCCTTGTCAACTGTTTAAAGAAACTAACTGCCTTGTCAACTGTTTACAGAAACTGCCTTGTCAACTGTTTAAAGGAACTAACTGCCTTGTCAACTGTTTACAGAAACTAACTGCCTTGTCAACTGTTTACAGAAACTAACTGCCTTGTCAACTGTTTACAGAAACTAACTGCCTTGACAACTGTTTACAGAAACTAACTGCCTTGTCAACTGTTTACAGAAACTGCCTTGTGAACTGTTTTCAGAAACTAATTGCCTTTCAACTGTTTATAGAAACTAACTGCCTTGTCAACTGTTTACAGAAACTAACTGCCTTGTCAACTGTTTACAGAAACTAACTGCCTTGTCAACTGTTTACAGAAACTGCCCTGTCAACTGTTTACAGAAACTAATTGCCTTTCAACTGTTTACAGAAACTAACTGCCTTGTCAACTGTTTTCAAAAACTATTTCTCACATACATGTATTTACTATAGCATGTTTTCACTTACAATTTTGGTAAGCCGTTGTGCTTCGCTAACCCTTTCTACAAGTTGCATGACCTCCTCTTCCTCGGTCTGGTACAGTGGCAGCTGCTTTTTGATGAGTTCCTCTATTCTTTTGTACAGCTCAATATCATACCTGAGAGAATAAATATCAATACATCAGGTAATCGCAGTTTCTTCACAGCAAATGGGTACTGTGCAAACAAAACCAATATAGAATGTCCATCACTGTCCCCTGTTAATAAAAACTGATCATCATCAATTTCTACTTATGCTGTTAAGTGTTGTGGGAAGGAATGGGTGATGGGTAGCAATGGCTATTGTCATTGTGTGCTGATGTAGAAGTTCTTTAATGCTATTAATCCATTTCTCCTAGGGCAGCCTCTTGCTTTCACTTCAGATCTTTTCATGTGTAGCGCCTGCATTGATAGTTCTTCTGGCTGTATTCTTACTAAATGACAAAACAATATGATCTTCCGTTTCTCAATGAATTTGCTGCATGATGTTCCTACAGTCTGTTTGATAACATCATTTCTAACTTTGTCTTAGATGGTTAAGTTGGCAGTTTTTCTCAAGCATCTCATCTCACGGGTGTTAATTTTATGCAGCTAAGCCTTTGATAATGTCCAAGTCTGGTGCTGGTAGCACAGTGTTAGTATAAATTTGCTGTTTATAATAGGCGCTCATACTTATGATTGGATGTCTTAATAAGGGTGACAGTTGGTATATAAGTGCAGTGGCTTACCGGCATCTTGTTTTTATCTCCCAATGTATTCTCCCTTTCTCCGAGAATATACTTCCTAGAAATGTAAATTCTGTCACTTGTTTCGGACATGTACCATTCAATCCAACATGTAGCAGACTATGAATTCTGCTGACCTGCATTACTTCACTTTTCGACGTTTTTATTTGCATGTTATATTTTGTGCATGTTGATTTTAGCCTGTTCAAATGTTCTTGCAGTCTACTCCCCTCATTGTAAAAGACTGATCATCTGCAAATAGTAGCTTGTTTATTGTGTGTGGATCTAATCCTTACTCTGGAAAGTAAAGTTCCTCATTTTCTGGATTAACAGCTGGCTTTAAAAAATATTCTGTCTATGTATATAGTAAACAAGAGAGGAGAGAGAGCACATGTCCCTGCCTCACCCGTGTACTGATTGTAAACATTTCAGATAAGCCTTCTTCTGTTCTCACTGAGCTTTGAAAAGTGTGGTTCATGGCCATGATGTTATCTAGCAATTGTCATTGTATCACTTGATGCAGACTGCAAATTCAATTGCATACACCTGCATTAAATGCACAAGGCAGCCGTCAGAAGTGCCAACATAAACAGTCCCACACTAGAATTTAGTTCACTATGGAGGGAAGCAGCATTACAACAGATCAGTAATTAATCGTATAAGGCACCACCAGTTCTGTGGCAACAGGCCACTTGCCATTTTCTAAACTTACAGTTCACAACACAAACTATGCTGTGCGGTCCAAAAGAATTCCTATATGAAATCTGCAGCTCACAAGGTCGCGCCATGCAATCAACTTAGTAGCTGGGTGACAACACTATCCTTTCAGTCTACATATGGAAGAACAACAGCCAACTATCAAATAAAAACAGTAAGCCCGCCTATCCACCAGAATGACTAGCAAACAATCCTGTATAATAACAGGAATGCAAAAGTACACCACCACATGTTAGGCTGGTTCATTGGGACTATCGTTTAAACTGGTCAAGATTTATCCACACACAACAGAGGTCAATCCTGGAAACAACGGTTCAGAGGTCAATCTTGGAAACAACAGTGCAAACAGACAAGCCAGATCTGTAGCATGCAAATCCATTTATGTTTTGGAACAAGGCCAAAGTCCGGATATGGATGAACAACTAGGGCTTTCCAGAGAGTTCACAGCCAGCGAATGCAGAAGTAGTAATATAATGGCTAACGTTGAGACAGCATCAACAAACAAAAAACAGCTCGCCATGTTAAACACTTGTATAAAGTACTAGCTGTACCCGGCCACGCGTTGCTGTGGCATAGTTTGGCTAAATGGAAATGAAAGAAAATAGAAATCGCACGTGTCTAATACAATCCTCGTCTGCTCAGATAAGAAATAGTCTTTGATCTCCACCCAACCCCCCACCTAAATCCACCTACTACCCTCTCCCTCATCAAAGGTTTTTGGAAAAGAAAGACAATGGAAATCGCACCTGTCTAATATAGTTAATGTCGCAATCATTCTCTGCACATTTATATAGAGATAGTCTGGTTTTCCAACTTTAGAACACGCACCATATAATTGTGTCTTTATATTAGTGGTCGTCTAAATGGTGCTATTAGCACGGTAAAAAAAGTGGTTATTTGGTTATCTCATGCTAAAGCTGTTTGTATTTTTATAGGAGACGGAAGTAAAGCTACAACTGTACTTGTAAATGACAAAGTAAGTCGTAAAAAATAGAAAAGCGGAGGTAGCGTTAGTAAAATATAAACAAATTAGGTAATGAGAACTTGAAAATCATGTGTAAAGCTCTTTAAGTTCTCTTAAATTTAAGTCACTACCCCCCTCCCCTCTTCCACCGACTACTGCTCTCTCCCTCTTCGAAATATTTGAAAATCATTACCTGGCGATATTTTGTTGTTGCTGTAACTGACATTGACATCCCTGTCCATCTGGACTAAAATGGGGAGCAGGAATTGTAATAGGTAGTGAATGGGGCTAGTGTAATATGTACCACATCATCCTTCAAGTACCAGTACAACTACTAAAATAATGTCACTGCTATCTGTGCTGTGTTACCATCGGAGTAGACAGAGAGTCGTGAGCCAGAAGATTTGGTTCCGCATGGCTAGTGCTGTCGCCACAGACTGGTCAGGTTAGGATGTATAATTTCACTTGCCGACAGAAGAACGCCATAACCTTACCGGCGGTCTTCACATGAGAGCACTATGGTGTAACAGCCCAACCACAACTATAACTGCTGCTGCTACTTTAAGTGGGTAAAGCAGTTACTGTGACTTAAAACTCTCTCAGTAAATAGTTTGCCCCCCCCCCCCCCCCCCCCCAAATTCACCGACAACTCTTTCTCTCATTGAAGTAGTTGGGAGGGGAAAAAAAACACACTTGAAAAGCAAATGAACACAGGAAAAAAACACAATAATTAGGAAATGAACGCCATGGTAAACAGCACAGCTTAAAATTCCAACACAGATGAAATAACTAAATCTAAATGAAAATAAATAAAAATGTATAAAATTTCAGCGTAACCATGCAATCGGAAAGTTTTAAAATGCAATCATAAGTATGCGAAATGGTCAAATTTAATTATCAAATGGTTTACCCATTTACTTGTCTTTTTTTTTTTTAAATATTAAGGCAACATGGCTAGTGCTGTCACCACGACAGAGCAGATGAGAATATTATTTTAGTCCGGGGTTAAAAAAAAATATTAACTACTGCAGATTCGAACCCAGGTCTCCCGAACAGGAACCCAGTGTTCTAACTATTCGACCAAGCAGCCAATTAATTGGATAAACGAAAAGAGAACTCAACTATTAGAGATATGTGTCCCTACTACTGAGTCCTGATTAAAACACAATTTAAAACCGCAGGCAATTGTTTTCTCGTAGACAGATACTCCAGATATATTAATAAACGGCACAACAATAGAAATCGCACGTGTCTAACACGGTTAATGAAGTTAATGTCGCAGTCAATGTCTGTGCCGACGTCGAGACAGTCCTTGATTGCCCCCCCCCCCCCCCCCCCCCTCGAAGGTTGTTTGAAAAAAAAAAGAAAATAGAAATCGTGTTTAATATGGTTATAGTGGCAAATATAGAGATAGTCTTGTTTAGTGTACCACGTCCTACTCTATGTATTAGAGAAGGCGTTGGCTGCACGTAACTCGCCGGCAAATGGCGGAAGCCTTGCGTTCTGACTACGGCAGCGCATGCACAATTACTAACGTGGCTATAATTAGAAATCACTGAAGGTATAAATATTAGTTTCGAATATTATGGCTTAATATGTGGTCACCTATCTCTAACAGCGACAGGTTGAATTTCAAACCACGATGGTTCAAAATCCGGTATCAAAACAAACATATCCTGAAAATTTCAGCTAAATCGGTTCAGTAGTTTCCGAGTCTATAGGGAGCAAACAAACACACAAACATTGATTTTTATATATATAGATGAAGCATTGTGAAATATCAAAAAATAGTTAAAATAACCTTCTCTTTCTGTATGTGAAATAACTTACTGAGTGACAAACGTAATGGCTTTGCCAGCACGTCCTGCCCTGGCTGTCCGGCCCACTCTGTGGATGTAGTCCTTGGTGTGTGTTGGGATATCATAGTTCATGACAACATCAACGTGTGGGATGTCCAGCCCTCTGTCATCAAGAAAAACATGAAGGTTATTACATCCAGAACAAATGTTTGTCTACAATCATATCTTAATAGGTTGTTATCAGGAGTTGTAACCACAGTTATCAATCACTTTCCAGGGTTTTTCCAAGGTCTTGAAGGCCTGAGTTGCCGTTTCTGGGAATTTCCTGATTTCAAGACTGGCTTGGACCCCATGTTAGTGGCCTTGCAGAACTGGTCTAGTAACGTGTTCAATTAGTCAGTCCTATGGTGAGATACCACAACAAGGGTGTGAACTTTTGTCAGACTAAGGGATGGTTCCACAAGGTGGGGTGATCAGTACCACTGCTCACTCAAGTCAACGTAATAACCATAAGCTGTTCAAACGCATCCATGCTAGCAAAGTAATGTCACTTAAAAGTACAGCATTATAGATATACACAGACATAGCATTAGAACCATGACAAGTAATATGGTTAGTATTAGGGTCCATAGCATAACAGCCTAACTGTGACTTTGTGAGCCCAGTAAAAGTTGAAAAAAAAAAAAGGTTAAGGTCCCTTTTTCATGCCTTTAGGCTTAGAGGGCATATAGGGCTAGAAAAATATTTTTGTGGACTAATTGGCACAAGATGGGTGATGTATGTGATCAGCATCATGCGGTGTGAGCCAAGTGACTTTCATTAATGCCTGCAAAGTGTTTATTAGTAGCTTCGTCCCGTCACCACCATTTCACATATCTGGCCTTGGAAGAGGATTGTTCCAGAAATTATTTCCATATACAAGCAGTATCAAGCAGCTTCACGGAGACACAAATTTTACAAAAACCAAGGTAGTTAGTCTGTCTCTTCAGCATTGCAGTCTGCCACAACATAATGTCTGCCACAAGGATGAGAATCAAACAGCTACAGACCAGTGCGCCTGATGGTTACACAGTAACTTGAAGTCTGGACCAGGCACGGATTGATTCATCAAGACCAATATGATAAATGTGCAGTACATTACTAAACTTTTCTAGCAGCTGGGTTCTGAAATCTGGCATAAACTAGTGAAAATGATAAAATAAATAGGGTTGGAAAAGAGACCATGAAAAGAAGTAACAATTTACTAACACCTTTAGAGGTGAGGAAAGTTGCTGGATAGGTCAAAGGTTGGGAAAACAACTTCATAATAGGTTAACCAAAAAACTCTTCTTCTGAAACGAACAGGGTATAAAAAAAGTAAAAGATATTCAAACTGTTGTAAGTTGGTGGGGAGTCTAAGCTCCAATGGGAGATACAAGGCAGATTATAAGCACATATATATATTTCATTTCATTAATTTTTTAATAAATAATCTATAAAAACAGAATGCTACACACCTGCTTGCAACATCTGTGGCAATCAATATAGAACTATCTTTACTTTTGAACTTGTTCAGTGAACCAAGCCTCTTTTCCTGTTGTGAAACAAAATAAAATATGCATGTTATAATCTTACAAGTATTCTGTAGCATAAGTAGTGGTCATATTTCAAATATATGTTAACATACGTATATACGAGGGAGCTCAAATAAAAACCTTACAAGTGTTATAGACATTACAATAATCATACCACTGCCTTGTAATCTGTCAATATTGTTTAGGATGTCAAGAATGTGTGACATCAAGGTGCTGACAAACATGGTGACCTTGTAAGTTTGAAGACGGCTGCCCCACTTTTGACATGCATCAAATAGGAGCAGCCTTCTGTTATCTATTTTTATACCAGTGAAAGGGTGAAACCTACAGACATTCATCGGCCAATGAAGGTCACCGGTGAAACCCACAGACATTCATCGGCCAATGAAGGTCACTGGTGAAACCTACAGACATTCATCTGCCAATGAAGGTCACTGGTGAAACCTACAGACATTCATCTGCCAATGAAGGTCACTGGTGAAACCTAGACATTCATCTGCCAATGAAGGTCACTGGTGAAACCTAGACATTCATCGGTCAATGAAGGTCACTGGTGAAACCTAGACATTCATCGGTCAATGAAGGTCACCGGTGAAACCTACAGAGATTCATCGGCAAATGAAGGTCACTGGTGAAACCTAGACATTCATCTGCCAATGAAGGTCACTGGTGAAACCTAGACATTCATCGGTCAATGAAGGTCACTGGTGAAACCTAGACATTCATCGGTCGATGAAGGTCACTGGTGAAACCTACAGACATTCATCGGCAAATGAAGGTCACTGGTGAAACCTACAGACATTTATCTGCCAATGAAGGTCACTGGTGAAACCTACAGACATTCATCTGCCAATGAAGGTCACTGGTGAAACCTAGACATTCATCGGTCAATGAAGGTCACTGGTGAAACCTAGACATTCATCGGTCAATGAAGGTCACTGGTGAAACCTAGACATTCATCGGTCAATGAAGGTCACCGGTGAAACCTACAAAGATTCATCGGCAAATGAAGGTCACTGGTGAAACCTACAAAGATTCATCGGCAAATGAAGGTCACTGGTGAAACCTAGACATTCATCTGCCAATGAAGGTCACTGGTGAAACCTAGACATTCATCGGTCAATGAAGGTCACTGGTGAAACCTAGACATTCATCGGTCAATGAAGGTCACTGATGAAACCTACAGAGATTCATCGGCCAATGAAGGTCTAATTCAGTGGTGCATGCCTGTCAGTCAAGCAGGTGTGGAGTAGAAAGTTTCAAAATGGTGGGACTTTAATGAAGAGTGTTCACAACCAGGTAAGACACACACCGTAGTGACCCCCTAGAGTCGACTGCAGCAACTGAAGGCCCCACTGAATGAGAGTGAATGACATTTCTACATATCGTAACATCAGTCAAGATTCAGCCTAGTCACAGAAATCTTTCTAACCAAAGTGAAGAAGACATTTCTGCCACTGACCTTGCACCAATATTCACATCTCTTATCTCATTCTGAAACGTTTGTAAAAATACAGTTAAAGTTCTAGCAATTTAAAAAAAAAGAGAGAGATAACTGTTTATTTTTTTAAATCAATGAAAGAAAAATACACACCTGTGACATCTGTCCATGAAGAGGGATGGCTTTGAAGCCGAGGTTCCTCAACATGAGTGCCAGGCGCTGCACATTGTTGCAAGTGCTGGTGAAAATTATGAAGGTGTTGCCAGCTAGCTCAGTCATGATGTGCACCAAATACACATCCTATACGAGACAAAATATAAACTAGTTTTATGAAGATCATAAATAAGAGATTTTAAAAGTTCAACTGTGAATGGGTATTGTTGATAGTTTTAACAAGAATGTCAAGCTTTGTAATATTACATTAAACAATTCAAGTACATTTTGCGATTTACAAAAAAAAATGGCCGTAAACTTAAAATCTGCAAACAGTTCATTTTAAGATCATCTGCACTGCACATCGGAAACACCCGTTAAGTGCTCTGATCTTCTAGAATACACTATAGGTGACAACTGAGTCATTATCCTTCTCCTTCACTCCTCCTGTGTGGATGTGTGTCAGTGCTAGTGTGTATTCTACTCTGTCTTTGGTAGGTTGCAACACTTTCTTTTCTTGACCCTCTGTATGTCAAATAACAGTATCCTGTCCCAAAAGCTGGAGTATTGTGATCACGTTAAGCGTTATAGTGGGTTAGACAGAGTGGTGACGAGGGTACAGTCTATAGAAAAATGAGGCAGAGGTCGACGTACATGGAAATAGATACAAGACATTGAAGAGGCATCAGCCATGAAAGCACACAGGGCTGGGGAATTGGCTAGAGAAAGACATACTTTCAGGCGTGCCGTGACGAGAGCGACGTTCTGTAAAGGACCTGCTGACTGGTGATAATGATGTTCCCTTTTATGCCATTTGACCAAATCATTCTGGTATTTATATTTTTCACCTGCTTTTTTCTTATCCAGTTTGCACACAGTTTTCAGTTTCACTTCTCATAAACTGAGCGATACATCTAGATTCTTCAGCTATGTTTAGCCAGGGGTTAGCCTTTCTGTTAGTTTCATGGGAATGTGCACAGCCTTATCGCTGTCTCCACATTATGCTCCCTAAAATACAGATGGTGCATCAACAGACCTATCCATAAGAGCCTACTGTGCTGGTCACTTCAGAGGGCAGTGAATGAACAAGAGCAATTTCCCCCACCATTCAAAGAGATTTCTCAACAGATGCAAAAAAATGAAATATGGTGCTCTGGTAATGCAGTATCCGAGGAGCCATCACCACCTGCCCATGACTGCTTAGCTTCATTGCAGTTTATGGAGCCTTCCACTCATGGCAATGGAAGAAGGAAGAGGTAGTAGCTTTAACAAGGTTTAAAATCCAGGAAATTATAAACATTTGTAGTTCCATAAAACAGAATTAACCAGATTTGATACCCTGTTAAGGAACAGCTGGCCTAGCAGTTAAAAACACAGGACTCTCATTCCGAGGACTAGGTAATCTTCTTCTCTTCTTCTTCTTTGCGTTCACCTTTGAACGAACGAACTTTATTTTTAAAGGGTCACAAATTGGGCACGCAGGCCCGTCTTACATTCAGCCCTTCCAAACACTCGTCTTTCACACTGCATCTGTATTTTATCAATAAGCATGTTATATTCATATGATAATATGCATATTATGAATATCAAAAAAGTGTTGGAAAAAAGCACAAAAGCATGGGTGGTAAAATGCATGCACAGACACACACCCACTCACTTAAACACACCCACATAAACACACCCCATTCACACCTACATACCCACACAGATATGCACATTCTGTAACACAAGCAGAGTTTTTGTTGTTCGTCCACTTCTGGACATAAATCTTGGTCCAGAAATTGAGTTTTGCATGAACAACCATTTTACATATCTGGCTTAATAGTATGCAGACTGCTAGTTCCTCTAATTAGCTCACTTTTGTGGCATGCTTGTAAGAGGCAGTTGGTCTATTCTTTTTTCCCACAACTTATACGGAGAAGACCATGTTCAAATCTCAGAATGGAGACTGATTTTATTATGTTGGCAACAATAATAAAACCCTAACCAGCAGGGACAATAGCGACTGGACTAGCTATGCTGCCCTAAATACTCAGACTAGTCCTGCACCACTTCCTAAACTGTGGAAACTACAGGCAGCAAAGACAAATACCAGGTTTATGGCCAACAGCTGAAGATGTTGGGTAACCAGGTAGTCACACCATTCCGGTGCCAAAGAAAAACTACAAAGAATGTCCTGACTGTCCTTTGGAAAAAAAAAATTACTGACTGCAGTCTCAACACAGCCAGTAGCAAACACACTCATTAAATGCAAACGTCATCCATCAGAAGTGCCAACACAAACAGTCCGACACTAGAAATGCCAACAATTTTAATTCATCAGAAGCAAAAGTACAAGTATGTGGTTACCTTAAACTTGACAGGTATGAACACATACGACTGCATCAAGTTGTCCACTGTTTTGTATTTGTTGTTCACTTCCACTTTTGCTGGGTTCTGCAAACATGCTCTTTGTAGTTTCTGAACCTAGAACAGACAAACAGGAATTGTGTCAATAATATACAAACACCTTTAACATTCCGATCCGTGTTCTTCAGGTGAAAATCCCCGCAGGACATTCTGGTTGTTTGTCCACTTCTGGACTTTGGTCTTGTTCCAGCATGAGATCTGGCTCATTAGTATGCAGACCGTCTCTTCTCGCCTCTCAGACAGAGACACTCCGACTTCAAAATGTAAACTCCTAATTAGTCTACTTTACGACATGCTTGTTAGAGAGCAGTGGGGCTTTAGAACCCACACAGGGACACACAAGATGCTAATGGCACAAGTAAGTAAAAGGACCTTTTCATGCCAGAAGTGCTAGGCAAATGATGCTAGATTCATATTTGTCTAGACCTGATAGCACTTGGTGGGTGATTCAGTCATCATGCTGGCTGCTTTGTAGCATCTGGCCTTTTTTGTTAGCCAGTCTAGAATCCAACTGGCGACACAAGCAATGGCACAACAACTGAATAAGTGTAAACTATTTATCAATATGTGCTTGTGTGCTGATGTTTTAGCGTGGATATAGAGTAATACAGTAACCAAAACTGAAATATTTTGGTCACTTGAAACATCACGAAAGTTTAGAGAGAAAAAAAATGGAGAGGTATATGTCTGGCAAGAGAGGAAGAGGAAGGCCAAAGGCAAGATGGGTGCAGGATGATATACAGAAGGGTGTATCAGATGCCGGACATCTTGCTTGTGATTGAGAAGTTTTCTTTCTACTTCTATCTATGAGTGCCGATCAATACATTATCTGTTAATTCATTAACAGACTATCTGGAAGAAATGTTTGTGCGTGTGCAAGACTGACTGAAAAATAAGGTCAAAATTTTGTTTGGGTGTGTGAGACAATGCATTTGCCTGCAAGAGAGGGAGAGAGAGAGGAAGGAGCATGTAGAGAAAGCAGGTGGAAGAGTAAGCCAACAAGACTGATAAGTCATACCTTTTTTGTCATGGTGGCAGAAAACAGGAAGGTCCTCCTGTCTCTAGGGATCACTTTCAGGATCTTGTCAACCTAGAACAAAACACACCAGATCAGTGTTACAAATCTGCACTGGATAAGTAATGCTTGCTCTTCTCTTCCAGGCTTAACATATCTATATACAACTGCAGATACATTCATGTATCTTCTTCTTCTTCGCGTTCACCAGCTGTAAACTCTGGCGGAAACTTCTATATGTTCAACCATTTCTGGACTGCAGCCCTGTTCCAGAGCCTGAGTGTTGCGTGCGCATCCGTTTTACAGATCTGACTCATTTTATGCAGAGTGCTGGTTCCTTGCCTCTTAGGCAGATTCACTCAGACTTCGAAGAAAGCTCTTAATTAGTTGACTCTTACGACAGGCCTTTGGGTAGACAGTGGGTCTTTTCTTGTTTTCCCTGTATTAGGACCTTGGAACCCACCAGGGGAGGGGTGTAAATAAAACAATGATATAATTGTTTATGTAAATCCTGTACAATAAATAAACAAACTGAACATTTTGTTGAGGCAGGGAGATGTGGTTTTACAGAAGAATCCTTATAATTCAATGGACAGCCAAAATGAGATACCCAGATGTTTTGAAAGAGGCAAGGGTTTAAAGACAACATAAAACATATACCAGAAAGAGACAGTCATCCATTTTTTAATCATGTAATGAGAAGAAGAAACCTGAAACAGACTACTGGAAAAATCTGTGGAAAAAGAGACAGAGGAAGACAATTCTCAACAGAGTTTTGTCATTGCATGGAGGGACACAAGAAGTGACATTTGAAGCTGAAGGTCACAGACTGTTGAGACTTGATCGACCATGGCAGTCGTCAAGGCAGTTGATCATGATAATTGTTTAAGAAGCTCGTTAAAAAAACATTCTAATGAAAACATAATCCAAATCATCAGCTTGTATGTGATGTGCTGAAGCTCTACCAGATCTTCTTGCTTGCGTTCTCTGGCTGTAAACTCTGACGTAATGTTCTGGGATGTGGGTTTTGCATGAACACCAGTTTGCCATACTTAGCTTTCACAAGAAACGTCGATTCTACTGAAATTTGTCACGGCCACCAACAAGGAATCTGTTTCTAGGGTGACCGCAGACAGGCACAGAAAGAACTTGACCTGTCATCTGTGCTTGAGCAACTCTGCCCCCCGTAACCTAATATTCTCAATTGCAGATGTGAAATTCTAGCCCTGGCCTTGCATATCCCCATGTGTTTCTCAGCTTCAATGACATTGCAGCAGTCACTATGCAGACAGTACCGCATTTTTTCCGTGTATAAGACAACATGATTTCCCTAATCATTTTTATTTTTAAATTTGTATTTGGGTATTGGGGGGGGGGGGGGGAGATGTCGTGAAATGGGTTTTTAAAAAAAAAAAATAATTTATGAACTCTGGGTTAAACAAAACAGGGCAGTGATCATATGCATGGGGATAATCTTATAAAATAAGAAATATGGTACTAGCTTTAGCAAACTGCTCTACACCTACAGAAGCAAGTCCTTATCAATCATCTTTGGCTAAGATGGGGGAAATGACACGTCAAAAAACACATTTCAGAGGAATACAAATAAAACCATGTCTTCAACAAACAAAATGACAACTTACTTCCTGTTCAAAGTCCATATTGAGGATCCTGTCAGCTTCATCCATGACCTGCAAGGAACAAATCAAACGACGCAATCATTCATCCAATCTTCTGACGTGTCAATAAAATCGTGAATGAATGCGTGGGGGGGGGGGGGGCGCTAAAAAAACATGACAGTTTTTGGAACCTTATACAATGACAGGGAATGAAGAGGCGAAGAAAGACTCAGGCATTTAAAAAAACATATGTTGCGTAGCCCTGAAAACAATATAAATAGAATAACTCTCAACTGGAACCCACAGAAGCAGAAAAAAGGCAAACCAAAAAACATGGAAAAGGAGCTAGAGAGTGAAGTTAAAACAGATCGGGAGTAGACATGTGCAGTGGCTAGCAAGCATGCTGCCAAACCCAGTGGTCACATGTGCAGTGGCTAGCAAGCAGGCTGCCAAACCCAGTGGTCACATGTGCAGTGGCTAGCAAGCATGCTGCCAAACCCAGTGGTCACATGTGCAATGGCTAGCAAGCATGCTGCCAAACCCAGTGGTCACATGTGCAGTGGCTAGCAAGCATGCTGCCAAACCCAGTGGTCACATGTGCAGTGGCTAGCAAGCATGCTGCCAAACCCAGTGGTCACATGTGCAGTGGCTAGCAAGCATGCTGCCAAACCCAGTGGTCACATGTGCAGTGGCTAGCAAGCATGCTGCCAAACACCCCAGTGGTCACATGTGCAATGGCTAGCAAGCATGCTGCCAAAACCCAGTGGTCACATGTGCAGTGGCTAGCAAGCATGCTGCCAAAACCCAGTGGTCACATGTGCAGTGGCTAGCAAGCATGCTGCCAAACCCAGTGGTCACATGTGCAGTGGCTAGCAAGCATGCTGCCAAACCCAGTGGTCACATGTGCAGTGGCTAGCAAGCATGCTGCCAAACCCAGTGGTCACATGTGCAGTGGCTAGCAAGCATGCTGCCAAACCCAGTGGTCACATGTGCAGTGGCTAGCAAGCATGCTGCCAAAACCCAGTGGTCACATGTGCAGTGGCTAGCAAGCATGCTGCCAAACCCAGTGGTCACATGTGCAGTGGCTAGCAAGCATGCTGCCAAACCCAGTGGTCACATGTGCAGTGGCTAGCAAGCATGCTGCCAAACCCAGTGGTCACATGTGCAGTGGCTAGCAAGCATGCTGCCAAACCCAGTGGTCACATGTGCAGTGGCTAGCAAGCATGCTGCCAAACCCAGTGGTCACATGTGCAGTGGCTAGCAAGCATGCTGCCAAACCCAGTGGTCACAAGTCCAAATCCTCATCAAGGCATAATATTCTCTTTAACTTTTGGGTCCCAACAATGTCTGTCATTTATTGTACTCTAAAGCAACAAGCTTTTTAGTCTTAACAAATACAACTTGGGAGAGAAGATGTTACGTCGGACAAGTGCCTTACGACAGCAGTGAACATATGGTCAGTTCCTTGGAACACGGCTGTAGCTAGTTCTCTCAACGTAAGGATATCTGAGATCCAAATAGTGTTGTTGTTATTTCTCTCACAGGCAGTGATGTTTGACCTCCACTGACATACAATTCCACGTGCTAAGACTTGGTCTCAATTAACGTATTCTACAGCATAGGTAGCTTGGCGCCCACTAGCCTATTTTCTAATGTAAAGAGAAATGAGCTAATCTGACAAAGCCAAAGCTTGTAAGGTTCTAACTGTTTGCCACCCAAGAATGATGCAGGAGGAACAAAGACTGTGCATGGCTTAGCAGTTGGGGGTTGGCTCCCACTGAAGGAATCTTGTTTATTCAGTCAGAAATGGGTATCAGAAAATGCCCGACAACAGGTGGCTAGTCTGGCAATGACCAAATTACAGACCATGTCTTACCAAGGGTTCACAGCTGTCTAGCTTTTAAACTAAGAAAAAAAAACCACGGCTTTTTTCCCCGGCGGCACTTAACTGTATGCAGTATCTGCATCCTCTTTTTAATACATCATTATTTTCAGCAAACGTCTGGTCTGAGAATGGAGGGAAAGGCAGTCTCTGCTAATAGATCAGATAGATCATTAGTATCTAAGGAGAATGGCGCTGAGAGGAGTTACCAGGGGATCTGGCCGACGCTCAACCCTCAGGGAAAGTATTAGACAGATATACAATCAGACGGCTACTGGTACCACTTGCTGTTGAAGATGGGGACTGAGCACTTATGGGAGTGTCCCAAGTGCTGTGATGTCGATTCCTAATTCAACATTTTATTTTCAGACTGGTGTAACAGAGGCTCTATGGTGACACACCGAAGAGATTGCTGGCAACTACTTTTATTTTTTAAAGGGAAAAACTCTGCTTTGAACTCTTTTATACTTAGACAGCCATTACATTGAACTCTTTTGGTCTTACATATTGTATCACATGCTGATGGAAAACAACAGCCATGATGAAACAACGTCATTGGGTGATTTTCAAAGAGAAAACAGTTTCTGTGTGTAAAAAATACAAAATAAAGTATGCTACAGAATGTTAGTTTCATAATACTAACTGGCCTAGTTCAAATACTTACCAAGTATTTTAAAGTCCTCAAACTGAAGCCCTTTGTGTTCTCCAGGTGATCAACGAGTCGTCCTGGTGTGGCTGGAGAGAGAGAGAGAGACAAATGCCAGATATAATAAAAAAAAGACGGCACTTTTATCAAAGAATATTAAAGGGAAGGTAACAAGTCCTTTTCTCCCTTCTGTCGTAAAGCTAGTGACCTTGCACTGTTACTCTAAACCTGTTGCTCCATACATTCCAATTTCAAGTAAGCATTTCGTTGAGAGAGTGGGAGGAAGCTTTCTCTACATAGGTGGCAGATGGAAAAAAGAGACACGGATTGAATGTTGAATTAGGAATCCACATCACAGCACTCGTGAAACTCCCATAAGTGCTCAGTCCCCATCTTTAGCAGCAAGCGAAAAAAGTTCCAATTCTGATGGTACCAGTAACTGTCTGATTACACATCCGTCTCGCCTTTTGGCGGCATCTCATGGTTCTGTCCTAAAGAGAACAACATCTCCTTTTGGCGGTATCTCATGGTTCTGTCCTAAAGAGAACAACATCTCCTTTTGGCGGTATCTCATGGTTCTGTCCTAAAGAGAACAACATCTCCTTTTGGCGGTATCTCATGGTTCTGTCCTAAAGAGAACAACATCTCCTTTTGGCGGTATCTCATGGTTCTGTCCTACGGCATAACAATAAAGACTAAAATGCCCAGCCATTATTCTCTTTCTGTGTGTGAAAGGCAAGGTTCAGAATTTCAACCATCAAAAGTCTAATCTGTGACAGGAAAGGTGAGAATGTCTGCTACCCAGACATCAGACCATTGGAACTAGGAAGCCATGCCTTAACGGATGCTTTTTCTATACTGTTGTGCTAGGTGTCCCAGTGCAACAATGTTAAAGGTGTCTAAGGTGCTGAAGGAGAGTGTGTTCAATTGTGTGGCCATCAAATTCCCAGGTTGCGCCCAGTTGATCTCTAAAGGGTATAGCTCAAAGCATGAATCGGAGGTCTTGTGCAGGATGTTGTGATTGTTTTGGTGAGCCCAGGACCACAGCATCATGTGTCCCTTCTGCATTTATGAAAAGCTCTTCAGAAGGTGGGGATTGCCTTCCCCTGAGGGCCAACAAGTCTTTATATGGGCGTGCTGAATGAGTTCTCTAGAGTAACACCTGGGAATAAAGGGCTATGTCACAATCCACAAAACCAACTTAGAAGGCTAACCCAAGTAACAAATTCCCAATACAGTTGGATGTGTCGACAAAAAGGCGCAAATACTGCAGCTATGCTGTAAACAGACACAAATGCATTTACAGCACCCTTTGAAGAAGAACTGAAAACTGTAGGCACAAAAGCAGCAGTGTAGATCACTGTCAACCTGCAGGTGAGCAGGATTGGATATCTTTTTGTCAGGTTTCAATCACCTGCCCTGTCCAACGTGGCAAGACACCACCAGTTTCTAAGCTACTGCAGGCATCTCTTTTGGGGTCACTGGAACTCGCAAGCTCCTCTACCACATTAAGGTGGAAACACGTCAGATGGATCATAAACTCTTCACTGTGTGGGTTCCAGGGTCCCATCTTAGGGTGGGGAGGGGGAACGAGTGTTGAGGGGGAAAACCCACTACACACACCCCTAATGAGCATGTTGTAAAAGGTGACTAAACAAGATGTGCACGCAAAACACAAGCTCTAGAACAAGGCTAAAGTCTAGAAGTGGATCAACAACCAGAACTTTCTCCCGAAATTTACAGCCGGCGAATGAATTAATAAACTGTAAAGAAAATACAACAAACTTTTAACAATGAAATAAAAAAAGCACCAAAAAGACTTTTCATGCAAAGGGGACATAAGACATATGGTGCAAGACTCGCTTTACAGACTAGTTTGTACTAGATGAATGATGGGGTCAACATTATGTCACCCATCTTTACTTCCTGTCTTTCTTGGTACCTACTTTGGGCTGTTATACACAGAATAGTGTTTTTGAAATTTCCAGAAGCAGTCACACAACTATGATGGGCATCCACGCATTATAAAAACAAATGCATCACATGGTTAATCCCAAACTTCTAGGGTAACATTTATCAGAGGAGACCATGTGGTTTGCGCATCTCAGTTGACAAGTTAGTCCCAAACTTCTGGGGTTATATTTACATAGTAAGAATCTCAGGCGGAAACATGTTAATTGTGTGCTTTGTTGTAGGTTTATGTGAACTCTCAGATATTGGACAAAAGAAACTAGCAATGCCCCCGATGAGACACAGTAAAATATGCTAGGCCAGTTTTTCCCAAACTTTTCTTGGTCGCTTCACATTGTTTTAATTAAAATGTGTCCATGTCTTCATCCTGTCTTTATGGAGGCTTACCCCCATCTCACTTTCATCTGTTCAAATTAACTTTCTAGCTTCTTTTACTGTATTTTTGTCTTTCAGATTGGTCTACCTTTATTTCTCTACCTAGTGGGTTCTTTTCCTCTCAGGCTTATGCAATACAACTTCAAAGGAAGCCGCCAGTTATTCGATCATACAGAGAAACCTCTGTAACTTTGTAACTGAACACTGGACTTATCTATAAATGCCATCCAGGGACTTTAAAACAAATTTACCCCCCCCCCCCCCCCCCCCCCCCCCGCCAAAATTGTAATTATGAAAATAAACATACCAATAATCACATGTGGTTTCTTGGCCAACATCAGTGCCTGGTCATACATGTCAATACCTCCAACAATGACAGCTGGAACAAAATTGTGAAACACAACAACATCAGTGCCTGGTCATACATGTCAATAACTCCAACAATGACAGCTGGAAACAAAATTGTGAAACACAACAACATCAGTGCCTGGTCACACATGTCAATAACTCCAACAACGACAGCTGGAAACAAAATTGTGAAACACAACAACATCAGTGCCTGGTCACACATGTCAATAACTCCAACAACGACAGCTGGAAACAAAATTGTGAAACACAACAACATCAGTGCCTGGTCACACATGTCAATAACTCCAACAATGGCAGCTGGAAACAAAATTTTAAAACACAACATCATCAGTGCCTGGTTATACATGTCAATAACTCCAACAATGGCAGCTGGAAACAAAATTGTCAAACACAACAACATCAGTGCCTGGTCATACATGTCAATAACTCCAACAACGACAGCTGGAAACAAAATTGTGAAACACAACAACATCAGTGCTTGGTTATACATGTCAATAACTCCAACAATGACAGCTGGAAACAAAATTGTGAAACACAAACATTAGCCACAGAGAAAGATAAGCAAATAAATAAAAGGGTCCTTTAGACACAGTTGGTGATGTCGTCAACATCACGCTGGCCAACTTGACTTCCCAGGACTGTAACTGGTACACTTTTAAGGTGTTTATAACATGGGGGGTCAAGGTCATTATTGAAAAAAAAAAGTCTGACTTTTAAGATCAGAATTCTATCTGACCCCAATCAAGCTTCTACTAGCCACTACATGATGGCTCCCAAGATTTAAAAAAAAAACTCCCAATTTGTTTTAATTCCCTAGACAAAAGACCCCTAACAGAAATCATGATGCCACAAAAACAGCAGCATTTCAAATAAACTAGCACCAAATTGGAAAGTTTAAGTTAAGGAGAGGCAGAGAATCAGATGCTGGACAGTCTGACATCATGGCATGAAAGATCGTCTGTGAAGAGCTGATTGGAAGTCAACAAGACAGAAGGTTGTGGATAGACATGACTATCAAAACCAAGAAGAAGATATATATACCTCTTTAAAAAAGGAGAACAATTACTAATACATTACAATCGATGATTAACTGATGTGCTTGCAACACTCAGGTTCTGGAACAAGACCAAAATCTAGAAGTGGGTGAACAACCAGAACCAGAGCGCCAAAAAAAAATAAAAACTACGTGTCCGTGTCCAATGAAACATTGATGCACACATATTATTGTTCTCATTTTTTTCCAATCTCTTCCTTGTGTGTCTTTAACTATATTTATTGAATGATTTTTTTTTGTTTAAAGGCAGTCACAACAGGTGACATGTCCAATGTGTATAACCTTTCAGTATACATTGGTAAACTTCTTCGCTATCAGAGGCTGTGAACTCTGTTCTGGTAGTTTGTCAGTTCCAGAACCTGAGTGTTGCGTGTACATGCCACCAATTAATCAACTCTTACGGCATGCAAGTTGGGGAAGTAGTGGGTCTGTCCAGAAAAATTATATCTAACATTCTTACCACATTTGACTCCAATACCGCAACCAAGAGCTGTGAACTGTTCAGAAATCTGGTAGGCTAATTCTCTGGTTGGGGTCAGAACAAGGGCATATAGCCTCTGAGGTTTGTCCAATAAGGTCTGCAGTATTGGTAAAGCAAATGCTCCAGTTTTTCCTGACCCAGTCTCGGCAAGGCCAATCACATCTTTACCTATAACGATAAAGTTATCATGTTAACAGCATTGTTTGCATACATGAATGGTAGATTAGTGCACGTAGCCAAGACATTTTGGCACAAATGAGAGGGACCTGTAGATCTGGATGGTGCTAAATGCTCACAGGAAATGTAAGATGGACATATAATACTAGGCAACCAAAAAAAATTTATTTTTTCAGAATTTGAATACATCATCTCTTATTGTTTTTGACATGTTGATTTTAAATATAATGAAATTCACCATCTGGCTGTTTTATTTTAAATGGTGAATATACATTACAGCAACATAAATAATGTTAGTTTTCATTAAACTCTCACGTGTGAATAGTTGTTTCTACTTTAACATTATAAAAATTGTTACATACTCAATTAACTGATATTTCAACATCAAATGATAGAACAAATATAACATTATAGGTCTTTGAAAGGGGACATTTGAAGATCATTGTTCTGTTGTTGTTCGAGCTCTATTTGCTTGTGAAGAGGCATCTTTTGCCACAGTCAAACAGTAATAACTGAAGGGTGCCAACTGCCTTGTCTAGATATCACCAATGTCCTGGTAAAATCATTCACGTGCTCATCACTGATAGCTCCAGTCTGACGTAAAGAAATCCACAAAACGAATTTGGAAGACATGCTACAGTCAAGACTCCTACGAATATTATTATTATTGTCATATTATATGTTCGTTTGTGGTGTGGGAGGTCAGCATGGTCTTGACTGCCTCGAGTGCTAGAGGTCCAAGTGAAAGCGGGATTTGTCCATGTGGACTTCTAGTAATTTCCCCTGGTCTCTGGGTAGTAAGATCAAACGCCCATGTGTATTGTTGCGCACGTAAAAAATCTCTTGGCAATTAGAAGAAAAAAAGAGCAGCCTAACGGCGCTAGCCAGACAACATTTTGGAGTTAAAAATCTACCCAAGGTATTTCAAGATCCTCGACGGTGCAACAGAGTTCATGCACTGAGATGAGATTCTTCACACTCAGGCTTGAGTTAGAAGAAGAATGGAGCACTTATGGGTTACACTTGTTTGCCATAATGTTGATCTGTTAAATAAACAATAAGACTTTTACCTTTCAGAAAGAGGTTTTATACAACTTCATTGTAATTATCAGATGTTTTTTCCCCCCCAAAAAATGTACCACTACAATTTGTTTGTGTTCAATTAAACTCATCATCCTAAAGGAATTTTCAAATTTGTGGACCAACAAATACTCCTTCTTTTATTGTTGACGCCGTCTGGAGGTGACAGGTTCAATTCCCGACACGGTAACTATAGCTTTCGATTTTTATGTTGTCTAGTGTGTTCTTCTATCTTTCTACTTCTTTCTATGAGTGCCGTTCACAATACTTTCTGTTACTTGATTAATTCTTTTATTGTAGCTCCACTCAGCCTGGGTATAATTTTCTGATAAGATATTTGAGATCCCTCATCTATTCTCTTCATTGTTACAGTTTTTCATGAGATCCAGCTTCCTCTTCTTCTTCTTTGTGTTCACCAGCTGTAAACTCTGGCGGAAAGCTCTGGTTGTCGTCCACTTCTGGACTGCAGCCCTGTTTCAGAACCTGAGTGTTGTGTGTGCATCCGTTTGACAGATCTGTATGCAGACTGTTGGTTCCTTGCCTCTCAGGCAGAAGCACTCCAACTTTGAAGGAAGCTCCCAATTAGTCGACTCTTACGACATGCTTTTGGGTAGTCAGTGCGTCTATTCTTGTTTTCCCCATAATAGGACCCTGGAACCCACACAGGGGTGAGCTCCAGCTTAATATGCAAGGGTGCCAACAAATGTTGCTGGTGTTTACAAGTGTCAGGTTCTCATCGTTCATACTACCTGGTTGCAATGACTGCCTGGTTGGCCAATGTCGTTTGATGTAATGGTCACTTTGTACACGGCTATCTCACTCACACAGAAAGTAATATTACTTAAGGTATCCACAATGTGGTCAAAGCAAAACAGTGATGACCCTTAAGTCAGCGCTAAGTGACCAATGATGGTGACTGTAGTTTATGCACATTACCATTTTTCAGTTGCTCTTGACTAATTAGTTCTTTTACCAGTCGGTCAGATGCAATGGTTTGTATCCACTAATTTGTGGTCTTTTTCTTTTGTGTTCTTACTGATACCAGGTTGTAGTCCAGTGTTGTGGTTTTTGGTATCTGTCTAGCACTTCTCAGGTGGCTTGGGTGATGGATTTGTTCTTTTTTTGCAGGTTTCGGCTACACCATGTATCCATCTATTTCTTGGTCTATCTCTCGGCTTCCTCCCAGATGTTCTGCTGTAAAAAGTCTCATATGCAGTTTGTTTGGCCTGGCTGCATTCTCATTATATCATTTCATTTTTTGTCATTCAATATAATCCAGACACATAATCCCCCTTTCTCTCAAATGTTGGTATTCGTAATCTTACTTACTTACTTAGTCGCTCCTCTTCTACCTTGGGGTGTAGAGGTTTGCCAGAGATCGCCAGACGTCTCTTTTAGCAGTTTTCTTTCTGGCTTTGTTCTATTCCAGTCCTCTGTCAGTTAGGGACTGTCGGATGTTGTCTTCCCAGCGCACCCTGGGTCGTCCTGGAGGTCTGGTTCCCTGGTTCTTAGCCTCCCATGCCTGCCATGGTGGCCGATTTTCTCCCATTCTGCATACATGTCCAAACCATCGTAACTGTGACTGATCACCTCGGGTTAGTAAGGGCTGGGTATCAAGATCTTGACGTATTGTCTGATTGCGGACTTTGTCCATTCTTGTCACTTGGACCACCTTTCTCAGATATCTCATTTCCGAGGCCTGCAGCTGGCTTCTGTGAGCTGTGGTATTCGTAATCCTGTCTCTTTTTGTGCTGTTAGTGACCCTGCAGAGACAGTGCGTTTCACATGTAGTTTCTGGTCATTTAGTAAAATTCTATATCCAGGTATTTGTTGCTTTGCGTTATGACTGGCGGGACTAATGACACTACAGAACTGCATTGTGGCGAAGGCAGAGGGGAAGGGGAGAAAATAGATTCTGACTGCCTCAAGTCTCACATAAATAGTCAGTCTATGCTTACCTTCTTATTTACATAGAATTATCAATATTTTCTGGCCAGATACAATTTCAAACACTGAACTACTTCAAGTCACAAACCAAGAAACTCTAGATATATGATAATCAAGAGAAGATGGAAATGGTTTGGCCATGTTATGAGAATGAATCCTGATATACCTGCTAAAACAGCTCTCACATGGATACCAGAGAGAAAGAGAAAAAAGGGGCACCCAAAAAGACGAACAATGGAAAGTGACCTCAGTGAGACATCTATGACATGGAAAACTGCAGTGAAGATTGCACAGGACAGAAAAGCATGGAAAGTCCTCTCTGAAGCCTTATGTGCCACTAGGCATAAAGAGAAATGATGATTGATGATGCTTACCTTCTAGAGCAAGTGGAATAGCCTCCTTCTGGATTTTGGTCGGTTTTGTCCATTTCAGTCTCTCACAGGCCTCTGCCAGAACATCCACTACTCCCTAAACAATTTCAACAACAAATTTAGTTAATGGTGAAATCCAATTAAACTACCAAAGGACTATTTTGTCATTAAAAATTAACAAAATTTCCAGCTTAAGAATACAGATATAAATTCTGCGACAACTGTACTTCTCTAGTCTTCCAACATAGGGTGACAGTTTCTTCCTTAAAGAGGAACCCAATATTTGTGTAGCTAATGAGTGTTGCCAGTGCATCCATTTTACAGATCTGACTTATCTGTATGCAGACTGTTGGTTCCTTGCCTCTCAGGTGAATGCACTTCGACTCTGAAGGAAGCTCCCAAATAGTCAACTCTTACAACATGCTTTTTGGCTAGACAGTGGGTCTGCTCTTGTTTTACCTACTAGACAGTGGGTCTACTCTTGTTTTCCCTACTAGACAGTGGTTCTACTCTTATTTTCCCTACTAGACAGTGGGTCTACTCTTATTTTTCCTATCAGACAGTATGTCTACTCTTGTTTTCCCTACTAGACAGTGGGTCTACTCTTGTTTTCCTTATCAGATAGTGGGTCTATTCTTGTCTTCCCTATCAGACAGTCGGTCTACTCTTGTCTTCCCTATCAGACAGTGGGTCTACTCTTGTTTTCCCTACTAGACAGTCATTCTACTCTTGTTTTCCCTACTAGACGGTGGGTCTTCTCTTATTTTCCCTACTAGACAGTGGGTCTACTCTTGTTTTCCCTATCAGACAGTATGTCTACTCTTGTTTTCCCTATCAGACAGTATGTCTACTCTTGTTTTCCCTACTAGACAGTCCCGGAACCCACATGGGCAGCTAGAGATAATGATAATTGAATTCTCTATTTGATTATAAATTTGTTTCTAAAATAATTTAATTTTTACAAATGATCAGGATGATTTACAGTAGAAATTTCTACAGAATCACTGCAAAAAGCATCGAGTGACATAACTGTCAGCCATCTCCATATACACCCGTTGTAGCCCGATTAATACAAGAATAATAATTTGTGAGCTTTTCACTAGCACATCCAACTTCATTATGGACTTTGCTTTTCATATATACTCCTCGAGAGTTGAGTTCAGTCAAGAATTGACATCACAGCACTCTGAGCATTCCCATATGCGCTCCGTCCCCATCCTCAGCAGGTGGTGAAGATTCCAATATTAATAGTGCCAGTTGTAGTCTGAGCGTTATGTCCCGTCTTGCCTTTCCTATGAGTGTAGTGTGCCATTCAAACCTTCTGGCCACACCCAGGTGCATTCTCGGGAGCTACTGCTAACACCTATTCCAAGGATGGCTATTCAAGCAGACTTGCTCCTCCTCCAGCAAGGATCAGCCATATTAATTAATTGCACGTGTTGGTTGGTTGGTTCAAATCCTGGGACAGTCCTGATTTATTGTGCATAAGATAATGATACAATCTGACTACTGACTCGTCTATCTCGTCTATCAAGGCCCGCGCCAGACAGTGGGAAACCAGGCTGTCATGTGCGAAAAATTGGCTACTGGAAAATTTGAAATAAATAGGGAAAACAGACACCCCAGGAGGAGGAAGAGTGGGAGGGAGAGCAAAAAGAACTCAGACAGCACAGCAAAAAATACACAGATGCTCAATATTCTGCAGCTGAACATCTGTGGAATAAGAAAAAAGAAACTTGAACTTGCCAAACTGCTAAACAACCACAGGGTACACGTGGCTGCCCTACAAGAAACCCTACAAGAAACCTAGAAAATCTCCAGGCCCAGATAAGATCCACAACGAAATGCTGCTACATCTTGGCCGGTCTGGGAGAGAAGTAGTTCTCAGGCTTATTAATAAAACTTGGAGGTCAAGCAAACTTCCAAGGGCATGGAGGAATGCATATATCGTCCCCATCCTTAAAACCAAAAAGCCTCCAGATGACCCCAAAAGCTACCGCCCGATATCCTTAACACCATGCTTGGGCAAAGTTGCAGAAAGAATGATAAACAGGCGCTTATATTGGTTCCTTGAGAGTTCTGGTGTTCTATGCCATGAACAGGCAGGCTTCAGAACCAACAGCTGCACAGAAGACCAGCTGTTCAGACTGACACAAAGAATACATGATGGCTTCCAGAATAAGAAACACACAGTGGCAGTCTTTGTCGATCTCCAGCAGGCCTATGACAGAGTATGGAGAAAAGGTCTCCTGATGAAGATGATGAGCATAGGAATACATGGCAGATTGTATAACTGGGTGAAATACTTCCTGATAGATAGAACAATCCAGACTAAGATGCACAACGCAATCTCTTCTCAAGAAGTCTTGGAGGAGGGCTTGCCACAAGGCTCATCATTGAGCTGTACACTATTCCTAATCTTTATCAATGACCTGCCAGAACAAATCAAGGCCGAAAAAGCCTTGTACGCTGATGACCTAGCAATATGGCAGAGTCATGAAAATGTGGAAAGTGGAGCCCAAAGACTGAATGGAGACCTTAGAAGACTGCATGATTACTGCCAAAGATGGAAACTCAAGATTAACTATGCAAAGACGGTCTACACAATCTTTACCAAAAGCCACCAAGTAGCAAGGAAGAATATTAACCTGAGGTTAGACAAACACCAAGTGATGAAAGAAGAGCATCCCACATACCTTGGAGTCACACTTGACCCGCAGCTCAGCCTCAAGAACCATATTGAAAACATCAGGAATAAGGCATTGAGGCGGTTACAGTTATTAAAGAGACTTGCAGGTACATCATGGGGATCAGACAAGGAAACTCTGAGGGGCTTATACCTAGGATATGTTCACTCTGTGATAGAGTACAACAACTCACTGCTTACAACTTGTTCCAAAACTAACCTAGAGACTCTTGACAGAGTACAAAATAATGCCCTCCGATTAATCTGCGGAGCTATGCAGTCTACACCAACTGCTGCATGTGAAATCCATACAAATGTGGAACCCCTCGGGTTGCGGAGAGAAAAAGCCACTTTAGAAATTTATGAAAGATGCGTTAGGAAAAATCGTAACCATCCTAATAGACATCTTGTAGAAAACTGGGAACCCAAACAAAGAATAAAGCACAAATCGGTTTTACACTGTGTTAATGAAATTCAGGACAGATACCACCTCCCAGAAAGACGTCAAGGAATTCAGAATGTTGCAAAAAACCTACCACCACATGCTCGCTTTAAAGCTCCAGAAGTCCAAACTAAATCGGTAGGCGAGGAAACCAAACAGTCCGACCCAATCGCTCTTATGAACTCATCACTAAAGACCGTTGATTCTTACCCCCAAGAATGGATACATGTCTATACTGATGGATCAGCATTTAAAGCTACCATTAAAGCAGGTTACGGAATCTACATAGGTTATCCCGATGGATCTGTTGAAGAGATTTTTGATGCATGCGGGGAATTCTGTTCAAACTATGAAGCTGAAATAATTGCACTGGAAACAGCAGTATACCACCTAAAGACTGTAATGGATGTTTACCCCTCAAAGGTCCAAAATATTGTCATCTTCACAGATTCAATGTCTGCCCTTCAAGCTCTGGAGGGCAATGAACGCTGCAGAACTGACATAGCCAAGATAATCCTGGATGCCGATCAGCTTATTACCTCATACAACATCAGAATAGTGATGCAGTGGATTCCAGGTCACTCCGGCACACCAGGTAATGACAGAGCTGACAGATTGGCAAAGAAAGGAGCAACACAAGAACAACCACCTACAGCGACAACCCTCCAGACAGCAAAAAACACTGATAAGAGCTATAAACAAAGAGACTTGGTTGAACAGATGGGCCATGGGAGACACTGGAAGAGAGGTTTATAGACATATGTCTGGCCCTGATCCTAATGACAGCATTAACCATCTAACAAGAAGGGACCAGGCCACCATCTTCAGACTTAGAACGCAACATACTCCACTCAATGGACACCTAAACAGAATACAGCCACAACACTCCCCAGAGTGCCAGCTATGTAACTACCCCTACGAAACTGTTGAACACCATCTCTTTGAGTGCCCAAAACTCAGTGAGACAAGAAGAACGCTACTCCCTCCGAGACCAGACAAGTGGAACACCTTGTACGGAGGAAAAGAACAGCTTGTGAAAACATGCAAATTCCACTACATGGCATTGGGCCAAAGGGCGAAAGCTCATGCGCCGCTGGATCGATAACAACAACAACAACAACAACGACTACTGACTGGCAAGTTTTAAAAAAAATCTGGTGAAATGCTATCACACAATAGTTCAGATTTTTACTCAGAATCTGCATCAGTGTACTGAACATTTCTTTGTACTGAAACAGAAGTCTTCTTCTTTGTAAGTTTTCAAATATGGCTACACCCATTGAATCATAATCATCAAACTATTTAGCAAGCTATGCAGTGAGTATGGTATGATTTCGGCTCTCCTGTCAACTACGGCCGGTAAATAACAGTGGACGGCCGGTTAGTCGGAGTTCTGCCCCCTGGCTGCAGTGCAATTACGGACTGGAGAAGGCACGAATCAAACAACAAGGTGAGGTCGACATGCCTGGCAGCACCCACGCTGCGCGACTCAAATTAGCGACCGCGTTCAATTACCGCTTCTTGCGACGCATTACGGAATGGATTAGAGAGAAGAAAACAAGTAACATAATTACTGTGTGTTGGCGATAGACAGCGTGTAGTGCCCTACTGTCATCATACGGTTAGGGTTTGGGTTAGGTTTAGGGTTGTGACGTTGAGTTTCTGCGAAGACGAGATGCGGCGACACTAACCGTAACGCTAACCCAAACCGTATGATGACAGCAGGTCACTACACGCTGTCCATCGACAACACACAGTAATTATGTCATTTGATTCGTGCCTTCTCCAGTCCGTAATTGCACTGAGCCAAGGGACAGAACTCCGACTAACCAGCCGTCAAATGTTGTCTACCGATGGTAGTTTACAGGAGAGCCATGATTTCTTTTATAATTAAATCCATACTGTCATTTTTTTCTCCCCTCTTTTCTTTTGGAGTCCGCTGGAAAACATACCAACGTTTACAGTTTACCCTCTCCGCATCACAGGACATGTCTCAGAAATACCCTGGGTGTTATTACTGTAACAAACTGATAAATCTAGAGCAAAGTCTTAACCAAGTAAGAAGATATCCAGCTTGGTCATGGTCTTGTGCGGCTAAGGAAGATACTTTGTAACCCTTTTTGTTTTTAAAAACAAACAAAATATCTCCTGTGCTAATTTATTAGATGAAGTTTCAAGCAGACATGCATGAAGCAGAGTTTAGCAGTGACTCCACAAGACAAGTCAAAGAAGATGATGAAGATCGATGAGACGCGTGTAACTTCACTATTAGTAATTACTGTAATTAGCGACTACAGTTTCGACAATTTGCGGTCTTTTTGGCAATTTCCATTACCCTGGAAACCGTTTGAAACTTGTTTGGGAAATGTCAGCTGGGGTTTCGGGATGGGTCCTAATCTCTCATGAAATTTTGCGATTGGTGTGATTTTCACCCACTATAAAAAGCTGAAAACGGCGGGAAGGAACCCGATTAACAGCGCATGTCTACGGCAGCCGGACGTCCTCTGTTTTTCTGTTACATCAGTTTGATTGAAAATAGCGATAAGTATTCAGGGTTGGCTTTAGGCTTTAACTGTTACTCTACCTGGTAATGCTAGTTATAATTGAATTCTCCGTCCAATTTTACATTTGTATATAAAATTTCTTTCTGGTACGTGGCTAGGTAGATGTACAGTGACATTTTTCAGGCAATCGCTGGCTCAGCCAGTGGCTGTGTCTCATTGTCTGCCATCTTGTCCAATGGCAGTCCAATGTAAACAAAGCCAAAACGATAAGTGCGCAGTTTGGTGCGCAGAGAAAAATTCTTGTTTCTCAGTTTCTGGGTCACAAGTTTTTTTTAGCAGCTGCTTTCTACATCTCATCTCCACAAAAACCTACATATCTCAGCTCAGAAATGATACACAAGCCTAAATGAGGTACCGTTGGAAAGAGATTGTTTACAGCTATCTAACTGTGCTGGTTTTTTTTTTTTTTTTTTTTTTTTGGTGTAGAGGGCATTTTAAAAATTTGACTAAAGTAGCTACAGTGAGTCTCAGCTCTGGTTCGCGAAGTGAAAGTTAAAAAAGGCAACGTGAAAGATTTTATTTCACAATAAGTAATTTATCAACAAATACTTTTGAAAGAATTAAACAACAAATTACCAGATCCTTAAATGTGACATCCGTTTCATCGTCTGCCATAACTGTGTAAGAGTAAAATACACGGGGTCTCAAACAATTAGCAAGAAATAAGACAACCACAAACAACTGTCCTCATGTGTGCAGTTGTAGTATTGGTGTATCATTTAGTCCTAGCAGTTTAGCTCCGGCCGAACCAGGTTTTTCTACTGTTGTGTAAAAAAGTTAGAGAGGCTGGCCAAAGTGGCTGGAAAGCTAGGCCTTCATAGGGAACACTAGCGTTCCAATCCTTTGTAAAATGGCAAGATTTGTGTTGTTGTGTTTTTTTTTTTTTTTTGGTCGCGGGGGAGGGGAAGGGGGGGGGGAACACAAATGCTACTTGAACAGTTCGTGACCACAGCACCAGTCACCTCCTGTCACTTTTTTTAAATAGTATCCACACTTCGTGACGTTGGTAGTCATGTTCATTCACAACCTGCAACTTTTTATCATTTCTGACACAGATGACCATCCATGTCATGATGTCAAAATCTTCTCTCTCTCTCTCTATATATATATATATATATATATATATATATATATATATATATATATATATATATATATATATATATATATATATATATAATCTTCCTCTCTCTCTCTCTCTCTCTCTCTCTCTCTCTCTCTCTCTCTCTCCATCATTTCCCCCTCGACTTTCCCACCGTCACGATGTACTCTAGTGTTCTAGTTCTCACGACACGACCAAAGAATGTCGTGAGTCAGTTTCTATCAAGACGTCTTCGTTTCTCTTTTTGTCTGAAAATTGCTACTACTACCTAAAAATTGCATAATCGACATTTTAACATGCTGAGTATACCCATAAACAGTGTTGGATTTAGGCAAATATTCAATAAGCCACAACTTAGTGCCTAAAAATCTTAGGTGGCCTTTTAAAATCCTCTGGTTTTTTTTTTTTTCCACAAATGGAATTTTTCTCTTGATTATTTTTTTTTTCAGTCATCATAAATGTTCTAATTTTATTACTAGTACATTAGATCTTCTTCTTTCATTCGCTTGAAATTATATGTCTGCAATGCTGCCTCTAGTATGAACGTCACCGTCTTTTGTAATTCACTTAGCGGTCCGTAAAGTTTGGCCAGAAGTTTTTCCTGGAAATGTATCTAGGACAGTCGTGGAGGATGTGATCTGTTGTCTTAGGTGCAAGTCCACATTTACAGAATTCACGACCTCAAAGGTTCCCCCTCTGTTTATTTATAGGAATAACGTAAACCAATGCCGTCTCTAATAAATAGAGAAGGCCGTGACGTATACACACCGGAACCTACTAATCAAATACCTTTCTTAAATGTTTGTGTATTCTAGACAAAGCATTAAGGTCCACTGTGTTCGTAAATTGTTGCTGTGATTGTTGTTTGACATATGACTCGTTAATATAAATTTCTGTAACCTATGGTGCCATTTCAATAGTTTGAAATTAATTCTGTCCGTATTCCATAGTTGTGGATTTCAAGCTGTACTATAGACATGGCTAATAAGACACCTTTTTTTGGAGGGTGCCTAGGTGACCATGTTCTTATTGCGCTTGTATCCATGGCTAGGCGCACACACCGTTTGAAGTTGAAAGGTTCAATTCCCGGCACGGTAACTATAGCTTTCGATTTTTATGTTGTCCAGTGTGTTCTTCTATCTTTCTACTTCTTTATATGAGTGCCAATCAGTACACTCTCTGTTACTTGATTTTTTCACATGTACAGAGGGCTGATTCGCGACTTTTAGTTTCGTGTTCATGTGGCTGCGAATTCAGTTGTGCTGTATTCTAAGGCGAAGAATATGACTCGCTATGGTCTGTCCATAATATTGTAATCGTCTTGTGCCAGTTTTTGTGGCTTTTTGGTTAATTTGGTTGTTCTCTTCTTCTGGTGATAAGAGACTGCTATGTCAGGTTGTTTTTCAGCTACACCTTTCTTGACTAGTTTATCAACTCTTTCATTTCAAGGAAACCTCACAGTGGGACGGTATCCATTGCGTATCTACCTTACACCGTTTGCCTAATTCAGATAGTAGTTTTCGTATACCTGGTAATTTTCTAGACTGGAGTGGCTGAAGTAACAATTTTGCGTCTATCAGGAAAACCACTAGTTGTGAAAAATACCCGGTATTTAGCAGTTTCTCTGCATTTCAAATCCTTCAGACAGGGATAGAGAAGTAGTCGATGGACTGGGGGAGGAAAGGGGTGGTGATGACGGAAACTGTTAACTGAAAGAGGCTTAAATCATAATCTTACAGTCATCATTTTTTATACATTTTTTTTTTTTTTTTGGTTGGGTGCGAATTTGTTGGCTTTTTTTTTTTAAACGTGCAGTAGTAAACTTTACTTTGAGCTCTTTAAAAAAATACAAGCTTTATCATGTGATAATAAAATAACCATGTTTTTTTTTGTAATGTGTGTGTATGCATGTGTTTTGGGGGGCGGGGTCTTAATTATACACTTTAAACGACCACTAATCTAACGACACAATTATATGTTGTGTGTTACAGGCAGAAAACCAGACTATCTGGGGAGACAGTGAAATTAACCAAATTAGACACGTGGGCTTTCTATTTCTTTATTAACAAGTTAGCCAGACTGGGCCACAGCAACGCGGGGCCGGTACAGTTAATCACAAATAATTGTTCTGCTCTTATCCATGTGTATGCTTCGGGACCCATTAGAGGTGGGGGGGGGGGGGGATAAACAAATCAACCGTTCCATAACAAACAAGGTGTTAAAGGTGAGTAATTACCGGTCTGCTGTGACTGGACGTGCTAGACTGAAAGACACGAACATTGCAGCATATCGACAACAGGTTGTTTAACTAAAGGTCAACGCTGAAACAATTTTGCCCTTAGTTTTGTCACCAGCATCACGTGTCTTGTCGACTGGCATGGGTGATCATTATGTTCTTTATATTATAAAACAATTGTATAGAGCCGGGCTTCTCAAGAGCTAATCCATGTTTAATTGCTCAATAATAATACTGTTAGTATTATAGAACATGCTAAACTGAGTACAAAATGAGGCAATGAGACTCATACTCGGCTGCACAAAATACATCTGCTGCCACGTCATGAGATGTGTCTCGGGCTAGCAGACGATGCCTACCAGACATAAGGTTGCACAGGTCAGGGCGTACATCAGGGTATTGGTAGACGGTACCTATCCACCATGATAACCAAGAGAAGATGGAAATGGCTTGGCCACGTTATGAGAATCAATCCTGATATACCTTCCCACATATGGATACCATAGAGAAAGAGAAAAAAAAAGGGGCGCCCAAAAACAACATGGAGAGGAACGATGGAAATTGACCCGTGTGCGGCATCTCTGACATGGAAAACTGCACTGAAGATTCCACAGGACAGGAAACCACGGAAAGTCCTCTTAAAAGCCTTATGTGCCACTAGGCATAAAAAGAAGTGATACGAAATGATAACTATCTACCGCACATATCTATCGAAGACATAAAAGGATCTAGAGAAAAAACAGTGGACGGATATACTAGTAAAAACTCTCTAAACTTGTCATCACACTTGGGCGGTACTGCATGGACCAGATTTCTGCAGCCGTAGACACTGAGGTAACGTCACTGATAAATCAGCATTCATGCTCAGAAGATATTCTCGTCTAAAAAGATTTGTCTGTAAAGCACAGGTCAAGATAAACATGGACATACAAACTTTAAAGGATAGGGAAACAATAAAAGAGGATAGCAGCGGTTAAATAAGACTCTGCTTCCTGATCTTATGGCCGCCTCGACAGTAGATACATCAATATGTTGTAGAGTTTCTTTGCTGTTACCATTCCATATAGGTCTTGGTCTACCTTGTGCTTTACTTTCTTCTCCTCTTTTGGTGTATGCCTTGTCGGCTCTGTGGCTAAGTCGATGCGAACACTTCGCTTCGTAATGCCGGGATGCCAGGTTCGATCCCAGCTGCGGGCAATGCGCCTTGCGTTGGTTTCGACAGTGGTATCAAGAAAGCCGACCGTCCAGAGCAATGGCAAACTACTGGACGTAAATTTGCCTAGAGAAACCACACAACAGCCAGGGGCTGTTAGGGTTGGTTCTGCAACGTCCTCTAGAGGATACGCAACAACCTAAGAACCTTGTATGTTACAGAGTTGTAAGACATTATTTGTATGTGGGCAAAACAATTGATTGACTGTCTTTGTATGTCTTCTTCTTCTTCTTCGCGTTCCCCAGCTGTACACTCTGGCGGAAAGTTCTGGTTGCTCGTCCACTACTGAACTGCAGTCCTGCTTCAGAACCTGAGTGTTGCGTGTGCATCAGTTTTACAGATCTCATTCTCTTGAATACAGACTGTTGGTTCCTTGCCTCTCCGGCAGATGCACTCCAACTTCAAAGGAAGTTTCCCAATTAGTCGACTCTTACGACATGCTTTTGGGGAGACAGTGGGTCTATTCTTGTTTTCCCCATAATGGGGCCCCGGAACCCACGCGGGGGTTCTTTGTATGTAATTTAGAAACGTCTCTGTGCCGACTTTCTCTATTATGAACTCATTTCTAAGTTTATCTTTTCTGGTACATTTCACCAAAGAAAAGGATCCTTCCCATGCCAATGGCGCATCGGGCATACTGTGCTAGACCCATATGTTTGTATGTCCACCGGGAGTCACAGTGGTGTAGCGGCTAGACGCTCGCCGCGGATTGGAAGGTCGTGGGTTCGCTCCCTGGCGGAGCCGGACTAATTTTCAAAAATGACCTTGGCTCCCAGGTCGACCCAGCCTTGAGTGGGTACCAGGTGCAGTCCCAGGAGGCAAAAAACGGCCGGCGTAATGCTGACCACATCACCGATCTTGTGCCGATTGGTCTTTAAAAAATATAGGTCTAGCCCATGCTTGTATCCATGGCTAGGCGCACACACCGTTTGAAGTTGAAAGGTTCAATTCCCGGCACGGTAACTATAGCTTTCGATTTTTATGTTGTCCAGTGTGTTCTTCTATCTTTCTACTTCTTTATATGAGTGCCAATCAGTACACTCTCTGTTACTTGATTTTTTCAC